GACGTCACCCTTCACCCACTTTGTTTGTTTTTTTAAAGGGAATGATAACGCTAGGGCGGCAGGCACATTTGTAATAATCCATCATTTGAGATCAAAAGGACAAAGTTAAGATTAGGAAAGGAAGAGGATTCGGAACACAGGGTGGAAGTTGGGGATGTGATGTTACAAGTGATGAATTAAAAAAAACAACCCACTGGAATTGTAATCAATGAGATGAAACAAAATGTGTATGAGTTTTTGAATGGAAAACTGTTCTCTGTAAGCCTGCACAATTCTCAATGAAAAGTTGGAGTTAAAATGACACACACACACCACACACACACAAAGGTATAGACCTAAGTGTAAGACATGTCAAGAAACAATAGCTACATTTTGAAAATGTTGGTTAATAAAGATTTCTGATAGTTTAGCAACTTTTTTACTTACTGTGTAACAATACCTTGTGACAAATCCTGTGTTTCCTAGAGTTTTCTGTTGTATATGTCTTGTAAAACTCATAAATTTGTGGATATTTTAACTTATATGCCAACCTTTACATCTCTGAATACTTCACATGATCATGGCTTATATCTAAGTTCTTGAGCATGAAGCAAATGCAGGCACTTTAAAGTAAGAACAGTGGCTTCTGCCTAAAAATTCGATTTCTAAGAATTCTAGTCACAATCTAAAGCAGCAAAATAGCAAAAACAAAAGAAAATCTGACCTTTGATGGCAACACACCTAAATACTAATTAAAAAAACCCCCCACAAAACACGTATTTAATAGGATGTCAAAATTTTAGCTCATGGCACTATATTCTACGAAACAGTCCGGAGGCAGAAGACAGCAGTAGATTTATCCCAGCTTTATTTAAGTCTGTGATTTCAAATTAAATACTGTGACAGTGATGTCGAAGACAATCAAACCCTGCAAGTCCTCTACTTCTTTTTCCTGGCGTGCTCCAGCCTCCAGGCACCCGTCATGTACCGTAGACGTATAAAAAGTAGGTCCTTGCCCATCTGCACCCAGCTCCAAAATGGAACTAATTTAGAACCTGTGGTTTAAAATGATAAAAAAAATTAATTAGCTTAAATGAAATTCAGGGAAGACTGTATCTTTTTGGAAATGAATTTCAGAAGACAATCTACATGATTGTTAGGAACCTTTTAGTCATCTCCACTCCACTGAAATCTTAGGGCATAAAATATGAATTTTTTCATAGCTGAAAAGTGATCTGCTTTTCTTATGGACAAGTAGCCCAAACATTCTGAAGTGAAACAAAACCCGGAAGGCTTAAACCGTGAGGGTTCCAAATGTCTCTACTATAGGAACCATGAAGGAGGGACCACTGTGACGGAGGGCTCTAGGATGGCCCAATAGGGAAACTACCTAGTGAGTGCTGGTTAATGGAGATAGCTGCATAGACAAACAAGATGGAGCATCAGAGTTCTATCACTCTTGCATACGGATCCAATTTTAATGGTGACAAATAATGCCTAAGAATATTTTGTGTAGCCCTCTCTGTCCCAGGCTATACAGCTTTGCTGATTTATTAATCTGTCTTAGCTGTCCTAGATTCATGGTGGTCCTGTGCAGAACAGGATCAGACTGTTGGGATCAATAAGGCTGTTGATATTTTTGGCTTGGGAGGGGAAGTAGGTTGCTAGGCCTCTTCTGTCAGGAAGCTGATGAAGCCTGTTCAACAGGCCCCATAGCAGCACCAACACACTAACAGATGCGTGTTGGCTGGGCATCAAATCCAGGTCTCCCGCATGGAAGGTGCCACAGGTAGGCCAGTCTACTGAAATGTCCGATCCATAAATCACAATGGATTGACACTTGCCTAGAGATAAACATCCACTGGGAGAAAGATAAGGTAGCATTTAAGTTACACTTTGTCTTCACAGACCACTTATGTAAGATGCCAGCCTTGGAAACCCTGTGGAGTTCTGCTCTGTCCTGCAGGGTTACTGTGAGCCGGAATTTACCTGAGGGCAGAAGGGGTGGGAGGAAATGAACCATGGTGGCACAGCAGTTGAGCTGCTCACCGGAAGGTCTTCAGTTTGAACCTCCCAGCCACAGTAGGGGAGAAAGACTTGGAAGTTGGTGCCTGTAAAGATTGGCACTCTTGAAAACACTATGGGGCACTTCTCCGAGGTCCTAGAGGTTCACGGTCAGTCTGAACTGCCTTGATGGCAGTGGGTGTGGGTTGGTTTTCTCTTGTGGACCTGGCTCTTGAAGTCAAGGCAGCTGCTAACAGGTGAAGAGGTAAAGGGGGCGAAAACCAGTTGACTTTATGAGATATTTGGTCTGAGGTCTCTCTCCCTTTCGGGCTTATCAGCTGTAATATAAACAACATACCTTCAATTTCGGTCCAGTTGACAGCAATTTCTGCTATTGGAATCTTAAAGAACTGTGCTATGTACAGCAGCTCCACATCAAATGCCCTGCAATAAAACATATATTAGGATTTATTTTTAAGGACAAGTAGAGTGTAAATCATCCCTTCCCTGGCATGACTTGAAGCTTACACTTTAACACTGAAGGTCATATTCACATAAGGTCATTTGCTCAGAGGCTCTGTGGGTTTGAGGCAAATGAGATAATTTAGTAGCTCACTGCATAATATTTAGATGATGTAATATGGTATCTCCGTTACAACTCAGAAATGTTTAGTGGTGAAAAAAGCCTCTTGGGCTCCAGTAGAAAAGGCAGCCTTGGAACCTCGAGGATGATGGTTCTCAATTGAGCCCGAGCTAATTCAATAGAATTCTGAGCAGCTCTAGGAGCAAGCAGTATGACCCTGTTACAGTACTTGATGATGTTCTTTTAACACCAGAGGATGAAGGTTTCTTTTCTACAGAGCATGTCTCTGAGGCCATGCCAGTTTCTGAAACCCTAAAAGATCAGGACTGAAGGGTCCCAAACAGCCCTGCAGGTGGGAGTGCAGGTGGGTCTGAAAAACAAGAACTAAGAGTCTGTGTAAGAAAGCGCTGGACTTAAAGATTAAGTTTAAATAAGTCTGCCTCAGAATCAGAGCGACTTGGGATGGGAGGACTCCGCATGGACGGCACCATGCTGAACACGTGATGACACGAACGCTTTTTGATAGAACAGTGAGACCCCAATCCCCTTTCCCTATCAGGCCCAACCGGACAGGGGTGCGAATCACGGAACAGGAGACCAAGGACAGGTTCAGGGAACAGGCAGAAAGATAAGAGCAGCCGAGACATAAGTATCTGAATGCTGTGACAGATAGTTCCTACCCCTTACAGAGCATGACGCCACATGGAAACAGCAAAGGTGAACTCCCAGGGATCCTTCCACGGAAGAGAAACACAGGAGGAATGTCAAGACCAAATTTAACTACTCAAAAAAAAAAAAAAAAAAAAGTACAAAAAACCCAAAGGTTTTAAAAGTATGTCCTAATGGTAATGTCCCAGTTGAATGCAGAAATTGTTAAGTAGTATCATTAACATCACACGCAAGTCAAATTTTGCTGAAGTTGGGGATCAGTATCATTTTCAATATAAAAATACTGCCACATCACCATGTTGAACAGATATGTTCCTAGACCATTTGCAAGGTCCTTAATGACTGGAGGCATGGCTACAATTCCAGTGCAATGCATTAAAAAATGTTAACGTTAACTCACCCTAATATTAATAACTATACGCATATTGAATTTGCTTGTCGTATACAAAAGGAGCCCTGGGGCACAGTGGTTACGAGTTGAGCTGGTATTTGCCAGGTCAGCAGATCCAAACCACCAGCCACTCCTCAGGAGAAAGACCAGGGCGGGGAGCTCTCTACGCTCGTAAACACTTAGTCTTGGACACCCACAAGGGCAATTCTGCTCTGTCCTATAGGGTCACTATGAGACTGTGTATCTCATTGTGGGAGCAGAAAGCCTCCTCTTTCTCTGCCGAGGGGCTGGAAGTTTCACACTGTTGATGTTGTGGTTAGCAGCCCAATGCGAAACCCGCTATGCTTCCGCGGCTCATTTTGCAGGAGGGGTTAAATATAATCGGTCTCTTTCATGTTGGTTTGTTTTTAACTTGAAACCGACCGATTTTATTTACCTCTATTAAGCAGAGGACCTAAACATAATTGATCACGTTCACGTTGTGAAAAAGCGCCCCGGCTGCAGCGTGGTGGTCTGGGAAACGAGAAGTCCCAGGGCGGGGGCGGAGAGGGAGAGAAAGAGGAGAGCCACAAAAGTCCTGGTGACGGATGCGATCTATAGAAGGGCCGTCTCCAAGGTTTCTACCTTCTACCTGCTGCCACTATCGCCAACAAGAGGAAGCTGGCTGTGGTTGGAAAGAGGGGTGGGAGGTAGAGGAAAGTGGGGTAGAGCTCAAGGGGTGGGAGAAAAGAAATGTAAGCTTGTCTTACAAACCGATGGGGAAGAGTCTACATGTGAGAGACAAGACATGCCCAGGATTAGGTTCCTGTGCAGGGAAAAGGCGACGCAGAGATTGAAGGATTGTTTTTTAGGAGAGAGAACTTCGCTTAGCGAAGAAGTTAAAAAATGGACACCCTAATGTGCATTGAGACACCTGAGCCTGCCCTGGTTCTTCAGTGAGGGGGAAGCCTATGGAAGCAGGATGTTTTCAGACACACTCTCCATTTATATTGTCCACAATTTAAACCAGATGTTAAGTTTAAATAGGTTCTAAGGAGCTCCAACGTAGTAAGCATATAAGGGTGCACATTAAGCTCATACAACAAAGAGCCCATTTTTTCTCTAGATGTTCATAGAATGCGAGGCTGTGTTTCGTTCCCTGGCCTACCTGCTGTGTGAGAAGTCACACCAGATACATCCCAATCAGGAACCTACCAGCGTTCAATGTGCAGAGCTGAGAATGTCCGTACAGCTGCTTCTCGAGTGAACAGTTTGAACCCACACTGTGTATCTCTGATGCCTTTGACACAAAGGAACCAAACCAGAAAGTGGAAGCCATACATGAGCAGAGTACGGAAGTAAGAACGCTGAAAACAAAGACAAAATATAGATGACTTTTCCATTTACCTGTGAAACAGACATTGACAACATCTTGTAGACACTGCATCTTAAAATGTGACTGAGCAGATCGTACATCGGAACATTGTTGTCCATGAGCCTCATCAGCCAGGCATACTGAAGGAACAGTGAGAAGGCCTACAGTTTAGACGCAGAGCAGAGCCCTGCACCAGCAGCAAGTGATGTCCCAGAGGTTGAGTCAGATAAGAAAAATCACTACGCTTGGGAGAGGCAGCTTGAAGTGGATTTCCGAGGCTTACATGAGCAAGGAGAACATTGTCTTTACCTACCTGTTTTATGCCCCATGTACATTTCAGGTTCAAAATGTTGATGGTTATCAGAATGTATTGAAAGAGACAAAATCTTAATATTAGGACCTGAAGCTTGAGACCTTCTGATGGAAATATTGATAGAATAGGGGCAGCAGAATATCACCTAAGCTCAAGTCTAGAAATGCTACACTCCGCGGAGTCTGTAACAAACAAGACTCTCTCTCTTTCTTTTGACCAGACTGTTCCTTATTGGGCATAAGCAATGGTTAAATACGACTGAGGGTCTGATCATAGAGATTTTAATATTTATGCTCCTCAATACTTCTATTTCAAGCAATGTGAGTCTTCACAATTGTTATTAATGATTAGTTTTATTAGTAGCAACAATAAATAAAATTCTATTCATGACATACTGAAAACATTTAAAATGTAAAAAAAATACACCATTAATTTCCCTAGTAATTACAAGTTTTCCCATTTAGGGGTATTTGAAAATAATAGATCTCTATACATGTTCTAGGACTAAGGAACTAGGTATATAGAATGATACATTACATATGTACACATGCAAATTTCATGGGCCGATGCAGAATGTGTCAGTTTGCTATAAATATCAGCAGGTCACCAATGGTGGACAGACAGACAAGTGAGCTTTCAGATTACGAAAGAGTAGAAATAAAGGAGAGGTGGACCACTTTTGAAGGGCTAGCCCCTGCATGCTTCCCGCATAGCCATGGAGCACTGTCTGACAGAGTGCCAGGAGACGGGCCCTCAGATTGGAAGGCACTCAATAGACAAATGGGGAAGAGCTGTCTGCTCAAAGGTGAGTCACCCTTACAGGCGTGGGTGGAGCGAAGTCTTGGGGATTTTTATTTATTGATGGAGGAATGACTTCCCCAGAAGTCATGAGAAGAAATAGCCATTAATAATCAGAACACAAAATGTATGAATCTAGGAAAATTAGAAGTTGTCAAAAATGAAATGTAACCCATAAAGATAGATATCGCAGGCATTAATGAGTTGAAATGGACTGTTATTGGCCATTCTGAATTGGAGAATCATTGGGTTTACTCTACTGGGAATGACACAGTGAAGAGGAATTGACTTCTATTCACTCTTAAAAAAGACAAGTTCAGGATTTATTTTGAAATACAATGCATGGTTCGTTCCGGGTTTAGGCACCAAAACAAACAAACAAACAAACAAACAAACAAAGAAATACCATGTGGTCTGAAATAAGATAAAATCCATACATTTATGTGAGGAGGACCCATTAATTCAACTTTTGTTCAAGGGCATGGGAGAAAGACAGGGCTTTTTGACTCCCATAAACAGAAACTCACAAGGGCAGTTCTACCTTGTCCTATAAGGTTGTTATGAGTCAGCATGACTCAATGGCAGTGAGTTTGGTTTTTGGAGTTTACTCAAATTTATGCACCAACCACTAAAGTTACTGATGAGGAAACCAAAGAATCGCATCAAAGTCTTCGCTCTAAAATTGATCAAACATGCAATCCAAGATACACTGATAATTACTGGTGATTGGAATGAGAAAGCTGGAAACAAAGAGGAAGAATTAGCAGTTAGAAAATAAGGTCTCAGTAATGGAAACCATGTCAGAGACCACACGATAGAATTTCTCGAGACCAAAGGCTTATTCACGGGAAATACCTTTTCAACAACCTAAGTGGTGGTTATATTCGTGGACACTGACAGGTGGAATACATGGGAATGGTTTAGTTATTCTGTGCAAAGAGATGATGGAGAAGCTCAATATCATCAGCCAAAACTAGATCAGGAGCCAGCTGTGGAACAGAACATCAATTGCTCATATCTAAGTTTATACTAAAGAAAATTAAAACTAGTCCACACGAGCCAAAATGTGACTTTGAGAATATCCCATCTGAGACCATTTTAAGAATACGTTTGGCCCACTGGGCATGACTGATGAAGATCAGAGGAGCTGTGGGATGACATCCAACACATCATATCTGAAGTAGAAGGTCATTAAGATGACAGGAAAGAAAAGAAGACACAACGACTAGAAAAAATGAAATAAAACATCAAGGGCTTCAGATCAAATTTAAGGCTGAGTAGTAATTTAATGATTCCTCAGAGAAAAGTTAAAGATATCAAATAAGCACTAAATGATTCTATTTTTGAACGGTTTTAGAAGGACACATTTAAGAATACAAAACATTAATATAACACTAACACGAACATCACCATCACTGCTATACTGACCACAGTGTTGCTACAGGACTCCATTTGGAGCCTTGCTGGCATAGTGGAGCACTCATTGGACTGCTAACCACAAGGGCAGCTGTTTGAATCCCTTCCCCTCCATCAGCTGGCCCTTGGGAGAAAGATGAGGCTTTTCACTCCTGTAAAGATACAGCTTTGGAAGCCTACAGGGGCAGGTCTACCCTGTTTTATGAGCTGGAACCTGTTTGATGACATTCAATTCTTCTTTAAAAAAAAAAAAGTTTACAGGACTTATTTGTACTGTGTCATATTTTGCTTACCACACTGAGAAACCAACCCACTGCGTCATCAAGGGGATGTTCAGTTCACAGGGACCCTAGAGAAGGTTCCTGGCTCTGTGCCTCCTCAGGAGACCAGATGGCCTCACCTTTCCCGGCACAGCAGCTGCTGGGCTTGAGTTGCCAACCGTGCTGCGGTTAGCAGTACCATGCCCGCTTGACAGAGCCACCAGGACTCTACCTGCCAGAGAGCAGGAAGACAGAGGACAAGCTTAAGGGCGTTATGTTGAAAAGTGTTTAGGAAGTATATTTTCTGAACACTATTTAAGAAACTACTGAGGTTGCTGTTAACTACCTTGTCTTATTTTAAAATAACCCCCCCGCCTTGTCCATAGGCCATTATGCAAGAGTCTCTCTTACATGTGGCACATTAAGAGAAAACAGAGCAGCTCAGAACTGGAAGGCTATGGTGCCACTTCACCAGCAAGTATTAGACACATGTCTTGCTTCTTAGAGCTGGCTTTCTCGAGAAAGACAGCTACAGTTCTGTGAGATTCAACTTCAAGGAAACGGGGAGGCGCTTGAGCAACAGCTCTATCATCTGCAGGACGCAGCTGCCCATTTCTAGTCTGTGGGTCAGTTGACACTTACAGTCTGCAAAGAGCAGCCATTGGCGGGTTTGGACTTTAAGTGACCAGATGGATGGCTGGATCAACCCAGATGGCTGGCTGGATCAACCCTAAGATAGGTCCTTTGATGCAGGACTGAGAGCAATTCTAGGTCTAAGATTTCTAGGGAAAGAATGAGGAATTTTCAACAAAGGAATGTTCTAAGTGAAAAGACTGCACCATTAACACACACCCCATCCCCAGCCCAAAACACGGTTCCTTCCTACTGCGACCAACAATACATGAAAGTCCCAACTCTTGTCTAGATTAAAACAGCTTTCTGACCAGTCTGTTTCCTCATTCCTTTTCCTTCACTGAGTAGACATTTTTCTTCATGTTCAAAAGAAAAAGGAAAACTTTTATAATACCAGTCTGCTTTCACTTAGTGTTTGTGTTGGCCTAGATAGTTTTACCCAGATAATTACTGTATTTATCATACCTTTCTGATGTCATCGGATACCTTCTCCAAATGGAAAACCAAACTCACGGCTATTTGATCCACACTGACTTAGAGTAACCCTATAGGAAAGGGTAGTGGAACTGTCTTTGTGGGATTCTGAGACTGAAACTCTTGGTTGGAGCCGAAAGCCTCATCTTTCTCCTGTAGAGCAGCTGATGGTTTTGAACAGCTAACCTTGCAGCTAGCAGCCCAAGGCACAACCATTACACCACCAGTGTTCCTCTATATCTTAGGTATTTCCTTATAGAGTCTTCTTATTCAGGCTGCAGATATCTCACCTAGAGGATATAATTACACTTCCTACAGTGAGAAATTTAGCATTTCTTACTGCAGGCAACATTGTGCTTAACATCTTGGAATATACTTTTCCCTTTTTTTTTGAACCCCCAGTGTATCAGTAAATGGATGACGTTAGTCCAGCTAATCTCTACGTTCCAAGAATGTGATATCCCCTGTGATGAAAGGATCAACCTTGAATCTACAGGGCACAGATTATTGAAGTAGACACTGAGGTGGTTAAGATCATCTTCTGTTTTTCTCTGAAAGGAGTGGGGTAGTTTTCCACACATGAACATACCGTAAGCGGTTCGTGACTCCTCAACCTGTATATTGAAGAAAAGGATTTGAATGTCTTCACACCTGTTTCAGAATCCTTAATGCAAGGTACAACCTTTTATTCCAATGATTCAAAAATGGCAGTATGCTGTAAAGGTGATCCGAGAAACTGCTAAAAATGCAGGTTTCTCGTGCAAGGAACACCATTAAAAAAATATTCTCCCCAGATAATTCTAACCACACATCATCCACCTACTCGATCACTCTCATAGATAAAACACTGAGAATACAATGGACAATCGCTTAATGCACTAGACATATTTTAAAGTGCAAATAGTAAAGTGAATAATTCTGTAATAAGGTATCTTTTTTCTTTCAACTTATTTCAAGTTTCCTAGGATGGCCCACAAAAATTAAGAAATGAGGATTCTAATGTCTTCAAAGATTTTTCTAAAACTAATAGGCACAACTGTTTCTAAAATGTAAGGAGGCACAGAACTTTTCAAAGAACAAAGTTAAGAAGGAAACATTGGCACTTAGAACAAAACACAAAATATAGCACTTCAATGTGCCAATATGAGAAAAACAAAAGGGAAGGTGAGTCATTAAGGAGCAAATGTTAGAAAAACACGCCTCACGACTGCACGAGACACTCCATGTCTTTACAAAAGTGCCTGCACCCGACAGCAAAGGATGTGCACGTCCTTCTCAACTATTCTAAAAAAAACCCAAACCCATCCATTCTTGAACGTGCCAATCTGTTCCAAAGGTTCCAAAGATGAGTACATCATTTTGTTTGGAAGGGACCGGGTTTGTATTCTTGAAAAACGGACCACATATGCCCAGAAAAGCAGAACTGCCACCCGCCAGCTGATGTTGCTTCACCTGAGCAATCGAGTCTTGTTCCAAATGGGCTCGGGATCCACACGCGATAGCCATGTCATCCTGAGAAAAAAACAGAATCTTTGGTTTTATTTTTAGTATTTAAGCATCACTAATATAATTTAGTATTTTTAATGTGACTTTTTCATTTTGGGGAAGCTATTTTTGGGTTGTTGAGAAACATCAGAAATCTTTAAAAGGTTTACTGAGCAGTTTAGATTGACAGCCTCTAAAAGCCCACTTGTACTTCCCAAACGACATTGTTTTACAGTTCAATATGTTACTTTAAAATTCAAATCTTGATTTAATTTATTAGAGAAGAAAAAAAAGCCAGTGATATCAGAAACCTTTTCCAAAGATCATATTTATAAATGTGATCGTACATGTATACCTGAAAAATCCGAGAATACCAACTGAACAGTTATTATGAAACAATAATACAATGAAAAAGATGGGTGGGCACAAACTGAATACATCACAGGGCTTCAAAAAGTGTGGAAAAAATCTATTAGATTTCAATTCGATTTTCCCACGAACTTTTCAAAGGCCTTTTATAAACAGAACACTAGCCTCATATGTACAAACAATAAAAAATATAATGGGGGCACCGCATTACTTCTAAAAAGGAAAACTTAGACATAAGCTTTCAAATCGCCAGGGCAAGGCTGGAATAAAAGCCATTTAAATGGTGCAAAGGGAAACAAAAGCAGAAGTAAAAGGCACAATGGTGGCACTGAGCTCATGGATGCAACGCTGTCAGGAGGGTGTGAACGTGCTAATCTACAAAGAAAACTACCAAGAAAACTTTACCAGTAACTCGAAAAGCTGCTTTAGAGTTAATATGGAAAAATAAAAGGAGAGGCAAGGATGAGCAAGAACCTACCCCAAAGGATTTAAGAGTACAAAAGTGAAGTAATCAATCACAAGTAAAGAACTAGAATGCAAACAGGCAAATCCATGAAGCAGAATGGAAAGGCCAGAAGTGTGCTCAGCAACATACGGGGACTTGCAAGGTGGTCAGATGCCATTTGCACCAAGGGGAAAAACAAGGCATAGCCGACAGATGGTGTAAGGGTGGTTGGTAGCCATTTGGAAATCAAATTAACTTGACCTGAATCCTCATACTGTGAGATATTCCAAATACATCAAAGATTTAAACATAAAACATCCAAAATAATAAAAAAAAAAAATTAAGTAAGGAAGGCCCACAGTACATGGAACCCAGGAGAAAATGGAGATCAAGCGGGTCACAAAATTAAAAAGATACATTTTTAAGGCAAAACAACAATAAAATCCAACTGAATTCCACATTAAAAGACACATAAATTAGGGAAAGATATTTGCAATGCGTACTACAGACAAAAGGTGAACCAGCAGATTGCATATAGAGTGGTCCTGTGGAACACTGAGAAAAGTAGGAACAGCCTGCTGAAAAAGAGGCGAAGGATCTGAACAGAGTTCAAAGCCAAAACAGTCAGTCACTTATATCGGAGCAATTCAAATATGACCTATCAGCTCTTACCATGTTCTAACGAAATACTCTACAGATGTTAATTTGAGCATGGTTATCAGAAGGGGGGGGGGGACCCAATTTAATGCAATTCTACCACTTTGAATTCTTCCAATCTATACAGCTGTGTATATGTAAAATGACTATCATGCAGGGATAACCATTTTACTACTGTTTGTAACAGCAAACGTACAGCATGTACATCTAAATGGGACTAGCCATGAGACCACGAAAAAAACCCAAGTACTTTTATGTATAAATATGGCTCAATCTCATGGTAACGACAATAGAACACTGTGTAGTGTACCTAATTTGCATTAAAAATAAAACTGATTGTGGTGGCAATTGTACAATACTACTTGTTGTGACTGAACTGTGGAATGTTATCTGTATTAACTCCCAATAAAATGGTTATGAAAAAAGTACACAATTTACTTTTGCTGCAGATATAGGAAGTTATGAAAAATCCTTGTACATAACCAAACACCTAGAGGGAACGAGTCATGGGGGTTGGGGGGTCGGGACCAGAGTCTTTCAGGATATGAAGGTCAACTGGCACAAAGACAATGTTCCACGTCCTGACATGCTGAGCAGGGACTAGGGTCTTCAAAGTTTGTGAGCGGTCATTCAAGGTGCAACCATTGACCTCTCCCTGTCCAGAAAAAAGAAGAGTGATCAAAGTGCAAAACACTTAGTTCAGAGGACTAATGAACCATGCAAACTCTACAACCCTGAGATCAGAAGAATGTGATGGTGCACAGCTACCACTAATAACTGCTCTTCCAAGGGTCACATGAGAAGATTCTGGATAAAATGTGGAGTAGAACTCAAAATCATAAGAGACCAGGCTTACTGGTCAGATAAGGGACTTGTGGGACCCCCCAGGACTATGGTTCTTATCTAAGTCCAGAGCTAAACTTAACCTCTGTTTAAGATGAAAATGCAGCGTTTACCCAAGGACAAAGTTCAGAAGGATGGGGAAAAAAGGTGGAAAAAACAAAACCAAACAAAAAAAGCTCACAACAACGCCAAAGGAGGAAGTCCCCACACTGAAGGGACTGTAATGAATGAGTTGAAACAAACTGTTTATGATTCACTGAATGTAAAACAATGATCTATTAAGTCTTTACCTAAGTCACAATAAAAGGTTAAAAATTGTGTTCATAAAAAACACAACAAAACATATGCTTATTATCTTCCAGCTGGAAGTCACACTGGTTGAAAAGCGAAGGTGGTTTCACAGTACACGGTTTCATCCCATGAGAATGATGAATCGCTCACTAAACATGACCTCATTCCATGTCCTCACAAGAAGAACCCTATGTTGGATTCCTTTCTTTAGAGAAGTCACAGAAAAAGGAGTGTGACTTTTAATACACAGTCGCATAGTTTTATTATAGAGTCAATTTGTTCTTTAAGAGGCTCTCCAAATTCTCCCTGTGTATGTGATCGACTCACCAAATCTTTGCCAGTTTTAATTGTTCTCATTTTAAATTTGTTAATTTAATAGGGGAAAACTATTGCCACATATACAGGGGTCATTCTGAGTTGGAAAAGACGTGATGGCAGTGCGCTTGTCTGTTTTTTGATAATTATATTACCACATATAGCTTACCTGTCTTTAAAAATAAGAAGGCTCCACACACAAAAAAAAATTGAGACTATTTAGTGGTCATCTGAATTTTTTGGGGGAAGTTATCTGTTACATGCTTTGCCTACTGTTAAGAACGATATTTCCTTTTATTTCTGGCAAAAGTAGCTTGCACCGGAAGGGAGAAAGTAGTTCCAGTACTTTTCATAAAGAACCACATTGAAGGTTTAGGCAGTTTATGGCAAATAAGCTTAATTCTCAACCCAACATCACTCAGCAAAAGATTCATCTAAATTCTCATTCCTCAACTCCTAAGCATTAAGTCCCTAGAGCTTTTTTTTTTTTTTAACCTCAAAATTTTTTTCTTTTATTTATTTATTTTTTTAATATATATATATATATTTATTTATTTA